TAAAGCACATCTTTTCCAGAACATTTTTGAAAAGCTTTTTGTCTTTTCAAGAATAGTTTCCCAACAAAACTTCTGGTGTGTTTATATAAAGTTATCTTCGGTGTTCATTTTGATAAACTGAAGAGGTGATGAGGCTAATTAGATCTCTCTGTAAAACATGTTTTACTTGTTTTACATGTGGTGTTTCTTCCTTGGCATCTAAGATCCATAGTAAAGGATCTCTCGTTTGTGCATATGCACACAAGAACTGTATCAGTCACGGTATCTAGAAGCTTGTTATGTCAACAACTTCATTTGCTTATTTGATGTAGCGCCTGATTGTCTTTCAGAAGTACCTTTTTCCATAGTTCAGTTCTATCTGTAGAAGTGTGACTGGATTTTCTTTTTATGTAAATACTTCACTTTTAGTTGTAGTAAATAGTTGGAGAAACAACATTGTTATATGTCACTTTTTTAGTTGTAGTAAATAGCTGGAGAAACAACGTTATATGTCACTGGCCAAATACCAGGCACCCACAAGCATCGTTCATTTACTCTTTCTTGCTACAGCTGAGCAGAGAAGAGAGAAAACAATATTTAACAAAGTTAATTGATCTGAGGTAAGAATTGGGAGACAAACATTCTAAGGGCTCAAATTTGAAGGTATAAAGTAAATCTAGTATTAACAGAGTCATAAGAGGAATAACGAGAAGTAAAATAAGCCTTTAAAACACCTTTTTTTGCCTCACCCCCTCCCTCCTTCCCACTAACAGTGCAGGGAGGCAGGGCGTAGGGGTTTGGTCAGTTCATCACTGGAGTTATCTTCTGTTCATGCAGGGAGAGCAGTGGTTTCTCTGCCATGCCATGGCGTCCCTCCCATGGGCAAGCAGTCTTCCCAAAAACTGGTGTGGTGTGGGGTGCAGTCCTCTAAGGACAGGCTGCTCTACTTTGGAAGCGAGGGCCCTCTATCTCTGGAAGCGAGGGCACTTTCTTTCTGTACGGGTCTCCCTCTAGATCACAGCTTTCTCTGGCATCCACCCACTCCAGCGTGAGCACTTCTCCCATGGGCTGTGAGTGGATCTCTGCATCACCTGTGGACTTCATGCATTACGTGGGGACAGCCCGTTTCACCATGGTCTTCACCACAGCTTGCAGGGAATCTCAGCTCCAGCACCTGGGGTACCTCCTCCCCCTCCTTCTGCACTGACCTCGGTGCTGCCGTGTTCTTTTCCTTCACATATCCTTACATCCTCCTCTAGCTAGCAGTAAAACTTGCTCGTAGGTACCATTGCTAACAGGTTCCACTAATGCAACGATTCCCGCATGATCCCGCAGCGCCGAGAAGTTGATGTCACCTAGGTTCCGTGCTCGCCGTTCTTCGCCATCAGCCAGCGGCTGTGCTAGCGCCGTGTGAGCAGCGGCGGCCGCCGCAGCGCCGGCGCTGCTCGACGCCTCTCCTCCTGCGGGGTGCCGGCAGGGGAAGCCGGGCTGCCCCTGCCCTCTTTGCCAGCAGCACAGCTGGCACAGGGCAGGGGCCAGGCAAGGGGAAGCCACGGGCTGCCCCAAAACGGTGGCATCTGTGCTGCCTCACCACCCCAGAGAAAAAAATGTGTGTGCTCTTTTGATTCTCTTCTTAAATGTCATCACAGAGGCGTTACCAGCCTCTCTAATTGGGCCAGCAGCACATCCATCTTCAGAGCCATCAGAAATGGGCTCTGCTGGACATGGTCAAAGCTTCTTATAGAAGCTACTCCTGTGGCCCTCTCCTGCTACCAAAAAACCTTGCCAAGGTTGTGCCAAATCCACACACTCTAATCACGATATCAACACCAAAGGTAGTGCTACTTATTTTCACTGTGTTCACACATGCACTTCCAAGTGTCTTCTCCTATCTTGACACAGTTAAGTGCATTCATCAGTCTTCATCTAATTCCAATGGAAATTACAATTCTGCCAGTAAAATCTCTTTCCTGAGAATGTAATATTGTTTGTAAAATTTATAGCCACCTCTTCTATTTTACTCTCTCAAGCATTTTTAAATCATGCTGCAAAGTTACTCACAACTGTATATTTCTATTTTGTTACTAGTTTTAAGTAAAATCGCTTCTACTTAACAAAACCTGCTCTTGCAAATTCTGTTGGAGTGACATTTATATACCTATATTTTAACTCTACAGTAACTTAATAATTTAATAATCTATTCCATTGTTATGTTTAGGATTAAAAAAAGTCAGTTCATTTTGTCTATATTGTTCTGCTTTTTTTTTTTTCTGAATGGCGTATCAGCTCACTTTCAGCTTTGTAATTTTTAAATATATATCAAAACATAATTAAGCAAGCTGGAAGTTTTCCTTGATGGCTCTTCTAAGTTTGTCTGATATAAGCTGTATATGCACTGGTGAAACGTGTAGCAGACGGCTTTGTAACTTGTTTGTTACTTGTTAGCACTTAATTGGACTTTAGTACCATGTCTTCATGAGAAACAAGATTTATATCTTTTCTGTAGTTTTGGCCATTCCCATCTAGTATTCTCTGTCATTGTTAAGTGTTCTTCATATTAACAGTCTTATAAACTTTTCCTGCTATCTTTAACTGTGGTGACTGCCCATCCTCAAGTCTGGTCCTTAGCTATTTCTTACTAATTTTTACTGCGTTCAGAATTTCTTATTGATATTGATTGCTGTCAGTCCTTCATATTCTTTCTGTTTATTAACTGTGTTTCAATTGCTGTCTTTGTTTCACATCATAACTAGAATAGGCTCTAAGAAGAAACTTAAACTTTGCACTAATTATGTATTTGAGAGGAGAAGTGTCTTATGTTTGCTTGGAACTGTATAATCAAATGTGATCACTGATAACCAAGCAGGTAGTTATTTGAAATTCAATTATACTAGTCTTTATCTGTTCTTATCCAAATTAACTAGCATGTTTGTGTGAAATATTCTTTATGTTTGAGGTACAGTATGGAGCTGTCTCCAGAGAATGGTATGAGCTTTAGATAATGTGTGTATATATGCCTTGTCTGATCCTAGGAACAGAACCATAAAAACCACAATATTGTTTGCCTGTACTGTTCTTACATAAATATCACTGTAAAGTTAATAAGACGTTAGACTGCTTGAGTAATAAGAACTGCAGAATTTGGCCCTTTAATAAGAAGCATGAATTGAATAAGAGGTCAGTAATTTCAAGGGTGGTGTGGAAGAGAAAATCTTAATTGTGCAATATCTTAGATGATGTTTACAGGTGGATCTAACACACTAGATACCAGTGTGCCATATTATCTGCTTAGAATGATTTAAATAAACAAACAAGACCTACATTTCCCTTTCAGAAACAGAAATCACATAAATCATCATGTATTAATAACATGTCATAAAGTAGTAGGTATACAACAGGAAGCCATTTTTATTTAAATCATACTGTTCAAGAGATGCTAGTGACATCTAAATCCAGTAGTAGGCTATTACATAAAGTTAACTGAAAGTTAAATTGGGCTTTATTTGTAGTCTTTCCATATATTGTACTATAAACATGCATAGAGAATGTTTGTAGTGCAATATATGTGTGTGTCTTGTATTATAACATAATTCTACATAGAGGTCACTAGCTCTTCTTTTGATTGACTTATGGTGTGAGTCACCAGTTCAGGTAGTAATAATTAATGGTGTAAGTATTGCTTAATGCAGTGGATATTAGCTGGAGATCTTGCCATACCAGGATCAGAAAGTGACACAAGTGGTAAGAAGGATTAAAATGGAAGTATGCAGATGTCACTGTGACGTTGCTCATAAGGAGATATTTTGGCGCAGAAAGATCTTTTAAAGTTCTTAGTAATAGTCTATAGTCTATCAAAGACAGAATGCCCAAGCAGAGTATTGCTGACAGAATAAAGTAGAATTTGACCTATATTTTGGTGTACTATATCTTCTTTAAAGCAAGGTAAGTAGGATGGTTATCTCAAAATTGTAAACTCTAATCTTGAATGTTCTTTATGCATGAACAACTTAATGCATAGTACCAGTTTTCAAAAAGTATGGCAGCTCACTTGAATAGGGTTACCCACAGAAATTGAGTATTAAGTTTCTGCCCCAAATGTCAACATAATTCATGCAGTTCTAATTATATATAAATTATATAGGAAACTTCCTGCAAAGACAGATCTGTGATAATGTATTGAGCTTACATTGAATCAACATACTCATAACATCCACATATGCAGAGTTGCTAGTTTAAGTGTAAAAGCCAGCATACTTAAAGCAAGGCTTTCATACTTCATACTGTCAGCCTGAATACCATAAAAAGGCCCCTATGTATCTCTCTTAGGCAGTTTAAACACATGACAATACTCAAGTGTTATCAGACATCATATATAATAGGCAGGAATGTAATTCAGTATTGAAGGCATATGAGAATATCTTCATTCCAGTTGATTTAAGTAACACATGAGAAAATGCCAATGTTATAGGTGCAAAATTAACTGCAGAGATGGTGTTAGTATTTCTCACCAGCAAAATGTTCTCATCATAAAGTGCCAGAGAAGTCCGTAAATACAGACTTTACAGAAATAAAGTCTGTATTTCCTTTAGTACAGAACTACAGGACTGTTCTTTGGTACAGAACAGTAAGAAAATTAAGATATATTTGACTTACAACTGTTTGCTGTAAGGACTGTTTGTTGCCATGTGTTGCAGGGTGCCTTGTGCAGTGGGATCTCAGTCCTTAGTCATTACCATAATAACTAATAAGAGTTATTTATATTAAAAGTAATAAATTAGTCTATCTGATCTATGCCTTCCCAACGGGGTACAAGCCTCATACTGTACAATACAATAGTTTCTTTTCCTTCCCTAGGCATGCTGAAACTATATTTACATAATACTTCTTTGTTCCATACATATTCTCTTTTCTGGTGTGTCTTGATTCTTCTGAGTTTATTCCTGGTTTTTAATTAAAATAAAATATTTGTCTTTTTTTTGTTTGTGTGTGTTTTTGCTTGTTTGCAAATTTTTTTACTTGAAAATAAACTATCTTTTAAGGTGCCTAACTGCTAAAATAGGTGTCTTTTCAGGAGATAAGAGAGAGGGAAGAAGAAAAATGTATTTAAGCAGCAATACAGTTCATTTCAATGTGGTTTTGCTGTTTTGGTGAGCAATCTTGAGAAAAAAATATAAAAACAGTAATTTTGTTTTGGCATATTATTTAAATACTACTTATCCAGATTTATACTATAAATTAGAAATTTAATATTTGCCTTTATTTTTAAACAATATTCACTATCTTTTTTTCTGCCTGTATGGGTATCTATTTTACTATTCAGTTAATTTGTGTGAAAGTACCTTCTGCTTGTTTTTTTACAGGAACTTTATAGTGGTAGCAAAGACTGCAATATCCTTGCGTGGATACCAGCTCCGCGAGAGCCAGTTCCTGATGATATTTCTGAAAAGGTAGTGAATTTTTGATTTTGAACTGTATTATTTTATGGCTGTTATACTTGGGCAGGTTGTGTGGAAAGTCAGTATGAAGTATGTGATTCACCACCAACATTTTTAACAATTTCTAATTAAAAGGATAATCACCTGTTATTTCTGTGCAATCTTTTGATTCTTACAGGGTTTTGAGATTATGTTTTCTCTTGTAGTCTAGTCAAATCTTTTGCAGGTTGCTAGCTGCCTACTTAGTTAAGAGTAGTTCATCGTATTGACTATGGGCCTTTCAAATTCTGCTTCTTTAGTTTCTAAATTTCCAAACTGCTTTCTGCAGTTTGTCCTGTTTCAGAATTGTAGAGGTGCTAGATTGTATTTTAAATTGTTTAAGAATATACTGCATATTAAGATTAGGGCTACCACAGTAAGATTAGGGATACCACACTTCATATGCAAATATTTTTGATCTGAAAATATAATAGAGTTTCTAAATATGTTTATTTTTGTGCCCGGGGCAAGACATTCAGGCTGATTGCAGGGAAGATCATATGTAAGACTGTTTTTTCAGTAGAGTACTTTCTCTCGGACAAGATATATTTCAGTGAGCAGCCTGAGTGGGAAGAAGTCTGTATTTTAAGGGACTCAAACCATTCACAGGATCAGAGAGTACTGATGCTGAAAAATCAAGGTGTATTAATGTTTTGGCCCATAGCATGTGAAAATTTCAGTTTTTAAAATTTCAGCATCTTTCCATTTCAGATGAAGAAATTATAAGAACCATAAAATTGTTGTAATGTTTGCTTTTTAAGTTTTTGTGTTTCAAAACTATCCTGCACCTAAGCAGACAAGAAAAATATTGTTCCAAAGGTTGGTACCCTAAACCAAATTGTGTTGACCTTAAATTAGCATTTTTGTTGTGAAAATTTTGATGTGAAGAAATTGTATTTTTCTTAGTCTGAAAAACAAAAACCCACAGCAACAAGATTATTTACTTAACTCTGATTAGAACTGCTCCTTTAAATTTGACACAGTGGCAGTATGTAATATATGCCATTGTTTTGAAATCTGTTAAGCTACAGCTGCTGTTTGCAAATGCTGTAGATGAGCCCTGTAGATGAGATATCTCTGTAGGAAGCTGTTTTGCTGTTCACAGGCCATTAATCAATGTTTCCTCTCAGGTGCTAGAATAGGCATTTGAGTGCTTGTATGACCAGAATCTGAACCCAGAATAGAAGTAAACAAGAAAAAAATATACCCTAAGTCACTTTGATTCAGTGCACTGCATAGCTACACAAACCCTAGTTAGACCCTAGTGGGGCTGAGGTGAGAAATATTTCTTGGATGTGAATAGAGGCCAGGGCTGCTTCCTGAAACTGTACTGCTAAGTTATTATGGGCCGAGGCTATTGTAATCTAAATTAAAGCAGCAGCACACAATAAATATAGTTATAACATTTGTTATATTTTGTCCCAAATATTTGTAATACTTCCAGTCAGTCCTCCAGATATTTTATGCTGAAATTGAAATTAAATACAGTATTATTTCTTCTAATAATTTATAATGTCTTTAATCAGTAGAATGTCTAAAAAAGTAGTTAAAAATAATCCAGTACTGATGAGAGATAGAATAGTTTATCTACATGTAGCAATTTAAAAAGTGCATTTAGCTTTGCCTTTATTTTATTATAGTATTTTTAATCTAGCAAAACACTGAGAATTTTTATTTTCCCTAGTCTCTGCCTCAACAACGTGTAAATCCAGCATATGAAGACGCATGGAGCAGCAGTGATGATGAAGGCTGAATTTAAATTATGAGCTGATATAAAATTGACATTCAGCCACTGCATTCACAGACTTTTACAGAATTGGACATTGTCAGATTTATCACAACTGGATTTTAGGTACAGTTCTGTCAGAGCAAGGTCTTTCAGAAATAACTTTCCACTGTTCTCTGTGTTTCTCTGTCACTTTAATGTTAAATCCAAAGGATTACTTTTTCATACTTGCTGACTTTTGTACTTGCACATCAGTCTACTTTATTCAGTGTTGAACAGCTGATAAAGCAAAAAAATAAAAGCCCTTGGGACCAGTCAAAATTACATTGTTTCTGTTATCTTTAGTACATGAGGAGATAACCCATTCATTTCTGAGACACATGATACAGAGGATTTTCCATGGAAGAGGGGTAGCTCAGAAATACTTCCAACTTTTTTTATCATAGTCTTTAAGGAGCAGATTGTATCTATTCTCAAGTGCTTATGTGCTGTGGGAGTCAACAGATGTTGGTGCCTGTTCTTGCATTTTCAGTTTTGCATGTTTTTCCGTAAATGCAGTATTCACTTCAGAAAGAGGTATAGCAGGGATCCTCTATTCAAGTATTTATATGGTGACCCTATCATCTAATATCTGAATCTGCCCCAGAATTCTAAGAATAGAGACTAGTTTAGAGTTTTTGTTGCTCCTGTTAGCAGGTTTTTAAGATCAATCTTCTATGAATGAGTCACACATCTTTAGCAAACATGAAGGATTCCTGGATAGAAACAGGGTTAAGGTACAGTACAAGATCACATTTAAAGTTAAAAATATTGAATGTAATCCTTCCAAACTGTTTTTTATCTAAGACATTTTGTAGTCCTAATGCCTGCTCTGTTTTGAAAGGGAGTTTTGTGGGGTTATTGTCTCATCTCAGTCACCAGTTTGTGCCTCAGACATAATGTAGTCTGTCACTAAAGAATGTTCTCAGATTGCTTAAAGCATCACGAGCAAAAGTATTGGTAAAAACAGGTCCAGTATAAAAGCAACAGCAGGACAAGGTTCACTGTTAAGGGCACACTGAGGAAAAGCAAATGAAAACCCAGACTCAATCAATCCAGTCCAAAATAAACTAAAAAATACATAACTTAAAACTGAAGTTAAATGATTTAGCAAAGGATTAATGTAGGATTTACTATACCACAACAGTAACTTACTTACAGACCTCACTTACAAATCTAAAGTACTTAGAGAATCCAGGAGAGCAGCATTTCTTGTGCACTTGGTACAGAATATGCATACTTGCATGCACACAGACATAAAGAGCCTGTACAAGGTGAAAAATTCCCCTCAAAAGTAGTGAAATACAAATTTCAGATGCCTTTGTGAAGGGTGAGCCTCAAGGAGTCAGGGGTATCACTTTTCAGGGATCCTCAGAGTACAGCAAACTTGGGAGTTCCCTGGCTCTGAGAGGTCCCACTCATGAGAGCTTTGCTGGTCACAGTTGCTGCTTCAGGAGAGCTCAAAGGGTCTCACTTTGGAGCACTGTGTGTAGGGCTGCAAGAGAGGGGCTTTGGTCATAACAATGTTCCATCCTGGCTCATACTTCTTTGACAGTGTGAGAAGAAAACATATCACACTTGGATTCTTATTCAGGCAAAAAAGTGTCCAGGGCTGTTCATTAAAATACAGGAGCTCCTTAGATATCACAGGTTCCTGGGAGCAGACAGTGTTTTTACTGGTAAGTCAAAAGAAGCTCAGTCTGGGTGCTGTTCCTAAGGAGCATTTCTCAGATCACATCAGGAGAGGGATTTGATGCACTATTGCCGAACAAACTTTTAAACATACATTTTTGCCTAAGTTGCACCATGAATGAAGGATTCAGCTCAAGAAGAGGTGGGCTGTGAATTATTTGTCCAAGTATCTTACCAGATGCCTTCGGGTTTAGTGTCAAACATTTGAAAATAGAAATTAGTTGCCTTGGGAGTTTCTTACACCTACTGGCAGCTAATATTTTTTTCACAGGAGTCCTTTCAAATCCTCTTCTGATATGAGTTGTTGGTGGTATTATTTTCCCTCTTGACTGTTGTCTTCTGCTGGAAGAGAGGTGTTTCTGATGAGGAAAATGAGAAACACCTGTCTGTCACGTGGGCAAGAATCCAGACACATTCTACAACCCAGCACCTGCAAGGCTTCCACATAATGCCAGTTGCTGACACACAGTGTTTAGTTTGCAAGTTTAAAACCTCTTGGTACTAGCCAGTATCTCAAACACCAGTTTCTGTGAAAATTATACATTGAAGAATGGCATTTTTGCTATTATTTCCTTTACTACTTCATTCTGTAGTTGTGTGAAATGTTTTATTTAAGCTTTTTTTTAGGAAAAAAAATATTTTATATCTTCTGCATTCCTATGGCAGAATGTTACTGAGTGTTGGTGTCTTTAAAATGAAAAATTTTAAAGAACAGTGAAGGTACACTGTATATGATTTCTCACAATCAAGAACTGGGTACTAAGCCAACAATATCAGTTGCAACTGCAATATCTTTCTTGTGTGTAAGTTAAATGTTAAAATTAAATTCGAGCTTTCCCCTTTGTTTATGGCTTTCTGATTATATGCTTATGGCATGTATTTTTATAGTATCAAAACTCTTTCAGAACCCAAAGTAGAACAAGTAGAGTGGTATAGATTTAATCACACTTCCCATTCTTATCCATCGGTCAGAAAAAAACCACATCTAAAAATCCAGTCAGATGTCAAAATGGGTGCTCTGTTCATACTGAAATAAAATTACTCACTTGAGAGTCAACTAACTCATAGCTAGATTATTACTGTTAAGAACAGTAAAAGTGAAGAGTTTAAGGAGAAAGTTTAGGCTGCAATGAACTACATTCTTACCTCACTAGTGATACTGGGATTTAGTCATACTGTATCAGAGAACATAGAGAATCTAATCTTAGATTCTAGAGAATTTAATCTCTTCAGGTTGTTCTGGGAATTTAATTTTGCTTAGAAGACTTTCTTTGTCTGCCAAGGCAGTGATTTTTATTTGAACTTGATACAGTAAATATCAAAAGATGGAGAAGAATTTATTTGTTCTTAAAAGAGATCAAAGAGTTTTCTTTTCCTTCTAGCCTAATGAAACAATGAAGGTGGAGTCAGTCTGAGCTAGTCCAACTGAAGAAATACAAAGAGCCTAAGACGAGTCTCCTTCAGCTTAAGTGGAAGCTGAGTTCTGTAGAGGCAGCAAGATAGAATTCTATTTATGCCTAGGTTATAATGCTCAACAAGTACCTGATATTAAGACAGCCTTGAACAAAAAGAAAAACCTTGTTCTTTTTTTTTCCTGTACACAGAATTGGAAGAAAGCATTAGCACATAAAAATTTCTATATAGCTATCTCTCCAGTAATTACAAGATAACACCATATGCTTACCTCCCTTTGCCTTTTTTTCTGTGCCTGGTATACTAGCTCTTGCATACAGACTGACAGATCTTGAAACTTAGAGATTTGTTTGCTACCTTTTTTTGCATTGTTTGGGTTTCTTGTCAAGCCAAGCTTCTCACAAGACATCTGGTTTTTTGGTGTTTTTTTTTTTTTAGGCAGGAATCATGTCCTCTGTCAGCTCAGGAGCCAAAATTTAAGAACCCCATCCTAATAAACCTGAAAAAATCTCAGATTTGCCTACATCAATAGGATTGGTTGTTACGTTTTTCTTCCCTTTTTTAAAAATATTATAATACCATTGTTCTATATAAAAATACTATAGTATTTTTTAAAATACTATAATATTATAGTTCTTATCCTGCCTTGAATGTAAACACATATACATACACATATATCTATGCACAGGAGATATAAAAGTACTTGAAATAAACAACTCCTTTGGCAACCCTTCTTTGGAGGATAGTTCTTGGTTTTGGTCCTATGTCATTTTTACGTGGAGGCAAGGGTCTGGTTGAGAATTGTAGGCTCTTTAGTGTTCATTGGCCTAGTATCTGCCATAGTGTATGGGTAAGCTTACTGCTAGCTTAGTACACATAAAATTTGCAATACCTAGTCTGTGGAGTTGCATTTTTTTAATGTTTTATTACATTTTCATCCTGTAATGGTTTGTTCCTGTATACCCCCACGTTGTATTGGTTTCTCCCTGAGTTTTCCTGCCTTCCCTCATATGTCAGTTTCCCCAGAAAGTGCTAAATCATTCCGTTGTCCCCTCCCAGGTTCCTTGTCCGTCACTCGGTGTCCCATCCCCTACATCTGGAAGCTTCCATCCTGGGCATGGAGTGATTGGATTAGGGCCTGGGGCCCCTCCCCTGTCTATCTCTCACTGGTTCCCTTATATGTCAATCCCTACAAGAGCCACTCTCCAATGTCTCCCCATTGGCTGGTCGGTTCCCCTCCCTCCCCGTATATAACTTGTTGCAAGCGCCTCTCGGGTGCTCTCGTTGGCTGGCTTTGTTCGTGTCCTCTTGGACCCTTCTGGGTCACAATAAACCTCAGAATTATCCCCCAACAAGTGCCTGTCCTTCTTCCTTTGCCGTTGGGATCTGCGGCGACCTCGGGACCCACAGAAGCACTTCCCAAAGCCCATCTGAGTCCAGCGGGGAGTGCTTCCTGCTGCCCTACTCACCCCATTGGAGAGCTAGCTGGGGCTGAGGAATTTGGGACAGTGATTTGGGGTGAGGACATGGCACTAGTCACATTATGGACATATCAGTTCAACAACAACATCTGTGCAGAGGTTTCTTTAGCATGGTTAAAGTAGTCCTTAAAGAAAGAGCTTGAGTATTGACTGCTAAGTGCTATTGTTACGGAGCTATTCTCAGCCACCCAGATGTGTGCTGAGGTTTTGACACCTGAGAGATGTTCTTAAAAGCAGTATATTCGTTTCAGTGGTCAGCAGTTAGTGGTTATAACACCCAATTAAACAAAAGTATGTAAAACATATCAGTAAAGTCCTTTTGTGTGGTTAAGGCTGAGTTATGAAATGGATATGCCTTCTTCCATACTCCACCATTTTTGTTTTCTTTTAGTCTGTTTTATAAAAATAATGGAAATGGAGGATATAAAGGGATGACTGAGTGGCCAGGAATTCAGGCAAGTGCATAACTACTCTCTACATCTTCATCCCTTCTAATCATGTCTGTGTATGTAGTCAGCCTTACCCACCAGCCCACAGGCTCTGCCCAGATGACAACTAACCAATGTCATCCAGCATACCGTTAACCACGCCCAGACCTGCCAAATTCCATTGAGCCCAAAAGACTTAAAAAAGAGTATTTATGGCTATTAAAGAAGCATTTTATTTACACATGAAAGAATATTTTAATTGCACAGC